AAAACTAGGAAAGAAGGATAACAAATTAATCCCAAAATAAGTTAAAAGAAATAATAAAACTTAGAGCATAAATAAATGATACAGAAATTCAAAAGACAATACAAAGGGCAAATGAGATGAAGAGTTTATTTTTTAAAAAATAAACAGGGGCTGGAGCGATAGCACAGCAGGTAGGGTGTTTGCCTTGCATGCAGCCGACCCGGGTTCAATTCCCAGCATCCCATATGGCCTCCCGAGCACCACCAGGAGTAATTCCTGAGTGCATGAGCCAGGAGTAACCTCTGTGCTGGGTGTGACTGAAAAAGCACACACACACAAACACACACACACACACACACACACACATAAGAATAAACAAATCCTTAGGTAGGCTCACAAGGAAACACGAGAGGAAACCAAATTAAACTGAATCAGAAATGAAAGGGGAGAGATTACAACAGATAACTCAGAAATTTAAAAAAAAAATATGAGGTGCCTATGTGAACAAGTCTGCACTAAAAAGCTGGAGAATCAGGCATCTTTAAAATCATACAACCTCCTAAGATAGAATTACGAGGAAGTATAAAAACTAAACAAGACCAATCACAACCAAGAAAATTGGAAAATCCCCAAGAACAAAAGCCCAAGTCTAGATGCAAAAGGGGCTTAAGGACCTCTAGGACCACACTTGAGTGTGCTTGGGGGACTATGTGGCGTCAAGGATTGAATCGGGAGCTGCTGCACACAAGGCATGTACCTCAACCCACGCACTAAATACCTCGGGCTGCAAGACACCCGTTTCTTTTTCTTTGAGGAAACAAATTGGGAGAAATCTTTATTCTTGTAAGTATTCTTGGATACTTATACGAGCAGAGCCCCGGCAGCCGAAGACCTCCAGAACCAGCCACAACCATGCCGAGAGCACTCTCCACACGCATGAAGGTACCGGCAGAGGAACAAAGGCATGCGGATCCCGAGGCTGAGATCTCCAAGCCTGCTTGAATCGGGGCTGTGCATCCTCTACCCAGCTCCTCCATCTTCCAGTAGGTGGGGAGTCACACCCACCAATTGCCCCCCCCCCCCCCCGCACCCGGTGCCATGTAATCCCATCAACAGCCAAGACCCAGAGACTATAAAACCCAGCTCCCGGAAGCACGCGACCGCATAACATCTTATTATCTCATTCTTGCTTTGGACAACCTGGCAGGCTACCGAATGTAACCTGCCCACACGGCCGAGTCTGGCAAACTCCCCGTGGTGTACCCAATATGCCAAATACCAGTAACAATGATGGGGCTCATTCTCCTAACCCTGAAAGACCTTGAATGTGGCACTTTTTAGAATCTCAGGGCTAGGACGAAGGAGACATTACTGGTACCTGCTAGAGGCAATCGATGAACAACAGGATGATCGTGATTGATTGTGATCGTGATTCTTGGAAAATATTTTTTTTATTAGTGATACACCATGAGGTACAGTTGTAGACTTACATATTTTTGTGTTTGGATTTCAGTTATACAATGATCAAGTACCTATCTCTCCACTAGTGCCCATTCTCCACCACCAATGAACCCAGTAGTCCTCCCATCCCCCATCCCTCCACCCCGCCCCACCTCTATGGCAGGGCATTCCCTTTTGCTCTCTCTTTCCTTTAGGGTGGTGTGATTTGCAATAGAGGCATTGAGTGACCATCGTGTTCAGTCTGTAGTCTACTTTTAGCATGTGTCTCGCATCCCAAGCGAGTCCTCCAAACACCCTTTACTTGGTGTTCCTTTCTCTGTCTGAGCTGCATTTAACTCCAGCATGTGTTACCAGCTTCCAAGCCATGGAGCAGACCTCCTGGTACTTATCTCAACTATTCTTGGGTGTTCGTCTCCCATTCTGTTACTTTATATTCCCCAGATGAGTGCAGTCTTTCTATGTCTGTCCCTAAGACAACCATTTTCAAAGACCATTCTGCCGTTTGAAAGGAGAGAAAAAAATGGCCAAGCCTCAGTGGACTGTTGGTCCCTGACCACACGGATGAGTCACCATCAGTGACTGACTCCCTAGAGAGCTTTCATGAATAGACTAGGTTCTAGTGTCACTTGAAGGCATCACTGTGACCAGTTCTCAAACCAAATCAGTCCTTTATAGTCTGGTCCAGCTCAGTCAAATAAGGGTGTAAAATTCTGTACCATCCTGGCAAAGGCTGGAATGTGAATGCCACTGGAGTGGTGACTGTGGTTCTGTCCTTGGGTGCTTTCTATCAGATTCCTAGATTATCTAGAGGCCATTGCTCTCAGAATGTATGCTTGAATGAATCTGCTACAGGTGTCTGATGCGGGTACACCTCAGAATTTCCCACTGCCTCACCTTACAGACATATTTCTACAGAATGTAACTTGTAAAAACGAATATAAGATACAATTTAAGATAATATATTTATAGAGTATGTAAATGCTATTATATAATCTACATTTAACAAAACGATGTTTAAGTTACATTCCCAGCCTAAGAAAGTTATTGGTTCGTTTAAGATGTGTGATTTACTGAATTAGTTGCTTTGATGAGTCTATTTTGGTTTTGAGAAAACTGAGAGGGATGGGGGAAGAAAGAAAAAGCTTACAGGGGAAAAGATAAGTAGTCTGCTAAACATAACAGGGAATAACAGAGTCTACAACCAACCCAAATACTGAATGTGTACTGTATTCTTAAACATTCGTTGTAAAAATGTTTCCCAAGTAAAGGATAAGGTGGGAGTATTTGAGTTGTTTTGGATTGTAATTAAAAAAATACCAGTTCTGTAGACTGGGAGGTACAAGGGAAAGGTGTTGGATCATCCAGATCCTAGTGAGAGTCCTTGCCCTGGATTGCAGACTTATTTTGCTCATTTCTCACCATCTAATATCTCTTTCCATGCTTATGTAATACATTACTCTGAAGAATCAAATCCCATCTCACTATAAAAGCTGAGTAAGACAGATGTATGTCCCCCCAATCCTGTGACATGTGCACTTGGCACATGTTTTGTGGGGCTTTGAGTAAGAGTAACTACATCCTAGGTTGGGCTGGAGCGACAGCACAGGGGATAGGGCATTTGCCTCCTACAGGGCTGACCTGGGTTCAATTCCTCTGCCCCTCTCGGAGAGCGCGGCAAGCTACGGAGAGTATCTCGCCTGCACGGCAAAGCCTGGCAAGCTACCTGTGAGGTGTTCGATATGCCAAAAACAGTAACAACAAGTCTCACAATGTGTTGTGAGACGTTACTGGTGCCCGCTCAAGCAAATCACTAAACAATGGGAGGACAGTGCTACAGTGCTACATCCTAAATTATCCAATCAAGAGCCATATGGAATTCAAGTCAAGTGTGGCATCTAGCGTCCAGTGGCGGGAATGACAGCACTTTATTAGAGAGCACCTGAAGAATGATTGTATTTACGGTAAGGTGATCTTAAAATTTTGCTAATGTTGTCCCTCCCATTGACTGCAAAACTCTGTTTCAGAGCTAACTATACTGTGATATATTGAAAATAATCCCAATAAAATAAAACTCTCCCTTAGCACATCTTATTTTGGAGCAGGGTATATTCACATTAAAAAGAATATGTGAGTGCACGAAAAGATGTGTTTCTCCCTACTATATTGTGCGCATCTTCTAGGCAGGACTGGAAATTATATACCTTTGAATTTCTTATACTGTGTAAGTACCTGTGGTCGGTCAGTTAATGTTTTAAAAGAAACCTGATATAAACTGTTCCCCCTCCACCAAGAATTTTATTGTCTAGGTAAGTAAATAAATGGGGAGAGAGCTGAGCAAGGAAAGTTGGTACTTTTTAAAAGATGAAAGTCATTATAACATGTTTATTTGCTGATATAGGGAAATAAAAAAAATACTGATGCTAAAATATATATACATATACCCAATTCTCAAGTGAGAAAAAAGTTTGTGTTTGTGTGTGTGTGGGGGGCGCGTAAGAACATGACCTTGAGAACAGTCACTATAATTCAGAAATGTTCACTCAATGCTGGTTATTATTATTGCTTAGAAATTTGTAACACTAGGTATCCAGTTTACTCAACCACCTCAGTATTACTAAAGCACACCGTCTCATAGCACTATCTCAGACAGGAGTCTCTGCATCTGTCTCAATTTTAATTCTATCACTTGGCCAAGATAATTTTACTTCCTCACTCTTGCTTCTTTGCGTGGCAACTAATACTTCATAAGGCTGTTTGTAGACTTAAAACTGCACATTCTGCACCACACTGGCCCTTGGCGAAAGCTGAAATGTGACCGCCACTGTAGTGACAACTGTGGTTCTGTCCTAGGATGCTTTCAAAGTCATTGTCTCATGTGTTCTGATTCCTGGACCACAACTGAGGTACCAGAAGGCAGCGCCCTCGAGACGCCAGTGGACAAATCCTGCAAAGAGCATCTGAAGTGTCACAGTTCTGAGTTTACTACCGCCTCGCCTTGTAGACAGCCTCTATTGGAGGAAATTTCGTAAACAAACAAACAAAAAGGAAATAAAAATCTTACTGCAACATAAAAGTTTTTTCAACATAGACGCCGAACCCTTGTATACACCTGACTGGACTGGGTGGGAAAAATCTCAATCTGCGCCTGCGCTAAGCCTCGGCCCCGCTTCTGCGCCTGCGCCAAGCCGCAGCGCCCCCCCCCCCCGCTTCTGCGCCTGCGCCAAACGCGCGCCGGCTCATTCGCGCCTGCGCGGAGAGCCCCCGCCGCCTCGCCGGCGCCTGCGCAGTCGTGTCAGAGGCGGGACCGGATGCGGCTTTTCCCCGTGCTTCTCGTGAGATGTGGGAGTTGTCGCGGGAAGGTGTTCGAATAGCTTTGGCGGCTCCGCGGAGCGCTTCCGAGAGAGCGGCCGCGTCCCGCTGTGGCGCCGGGGCGGTGTCGTCAGGCGCCTGGCTTCACTGTCGCTCGCAGCAGAGGGGAGGCTCGTGGCGGGGGTGGGGGGCCCGGCGGGCGGTTTCACGTGGAAGCGGCGCTGGGGAGGCTCTCTCGGGGCGAGCCGGGCCCGAGGAAGCCGAGGCCTTTCAGGTAAAACCAGCTTCTGGGGTAGCATCCCGCAATTCCTAATCTGGTTCCAGAAAAGTCTCTCAGGTCGGCGGGGCTGAGGTGCCCCGCGACCGGCGGAGAAGACAGCTCATGAATTTTTTTTTTTTTTTACCTCAGTTCTGTCTGGAAGCAAACGCTTCTCGTCCACCACCAGTGAGTGGAGTTCATGTTGAAAATACCAGTGGATGTTTTATAGAAGACAACAACAACAACAACAACAGCAACAAGAAAATGGAGCTGGGGGTGTTGGTTTTATAGAAGACGTGACAGGGCGCTCAGAGAGTGGTGGGCGTGTAGTCAGAAGCGCGACAGGGAGGGCTTCCCTGGGTTTGAGAGATTTACCAGAGACGACGTAAACCAGCCCTGGATATGGAAGGAGACCCCCTCCCCCACCACCAACACCCTCGCTCCCCATCCCGCTAATTCATTCGTAAGAATTTGCATTCTCAGGCTGGTGACATTTCGGTGCCTCAGACTGCACCTGCCTCAGGTGAAGTGACAGCTGTCCCTCAGGGGGCTGTGGAGAGGATCCAGGAGCGTCGCGCGCCAGGTCTGCCGAAGAAGCCCGAAGCGCAGTGCCTGGCCCGGAATTTTTATTTGAGGCGGATAAATAATTCAACCCTGTCCAGCTCTCTCTTGCAGGTGCATCGCTGAGCTCTTCCTCTTCATCCCCTAGACCTATCTTTTCTTAGGGAGAATCTGCCTTCATCCCAGTTGCCCGCCTCCACTGCCCACCACATCATCACTATTGGATTGTGGTGACCTTGTTAGCCGTGACTGCAGTCCACCCCTGAGCCCTGGCCTCGTCACTTCTGTGAATGAGTTTGAGGAGTTTGATGTAATTCCTTTCACTGTGAAGAGTCGGAGGAGGTCGATTTCGGAGGGACCTTTGTGTTCTAAGCAGTAGCTTGGTGCCTGAGACACAACAGTTTGAGCAAATATGTGAAAGCTAGATAGTTGGCTTCATTGAACTTTGGTTTGGGGACCACCACCCAGGGGTGCTTCAGGAGTCCCTCCTGGTAGTGTCTAAGAGAACGTAAGCGGTGCCGGGGTTGACATCAGGGTTGACTGCATGCAAGGCAAAAACACCTTCAACCCTCTTCTGTCCCTCAATGAGCATTTCTGATAGGATATCTTAAGGCCACCTCCATATTTCTGTATTTGATTTTTCATTTAATTTTTATTTATTGGGCCACACCCAGCTGTGTTCAGGGCTTACTCCTGGATCTGTGCTTAGGGATCACTCCTGGTGCAACTTGGGTGACCATGTGGGGTGCCAGGGAATGAATTTGCATCAGTTGTGTATAAGGCAGGTACTGTACCTGCTGTGCTATTTCTCCGAAACGACCCCCCCCCACCATCCATATTTTAAAATAAAAGTAGGTTGCTAAAGGTTGATAGTAGCACTTAATTTTGGCTCATCGAGGGAACTGAGTGAGATAATATTGTGAAGCACCCTTGTTTACAATTGATAAATAACATAATTTGTGTAAAAATTGGCGGACTGATCCCATCATATATAGGCTTTAAAGGTCTTAGAGTCTAGAGCAGTAAACTGTCAGTTCTGGAAAACATAGAATAACTTTTTATTTTCTAAATCCTCCATCCTTATTCTCTTTTGAGGACTTTTTTTTTTTCTTTTTTGCTTCCTTGTACTTGGCCGTGGAAGTCAGGGTCTTACACTTGCAAGGCAAAGGATCTGTCACTGAGTTATATCCCAGGCTCCAAGACCTTGCTTCTTAATTCACAGATAATTGAAATCATTAATTCACAGATAATTGAAATCATTAGAGGGTAATTATGCAGATTCCACCACTGCCATCTACTTATTGGTATCTCTCACATATTTTTCTTTCCATAATTTTAGATAAAATAGTCATCTTCCTGTTTGAAATAGCCCCTACACTTTAATCCTTTCTTGATTATCACTCAAGCAGTTCAAGTTATCTTCTTTCAGTTTTTCTTCTGAATTTATTCCATGGGGTACAAGTATACTTTTTTCTCTTTAAACAAAAATCTTTACCACACTTTTCTTCAGCTACTCCATATCACTCACTATACTGCTACACACAATTGTACGTGCAGTCTCCTGTTGAATTCTTTCAACCTATTTCAGTTAAGCTTTCGTCCCCATATCTCTACCAAAACGCTTTTAAAGCTTCCAGTGACCTTTTTGAATTCAACACTACCAGACATTTTTCAGTGCTCACTTTATTTGATTTAGTAGCAGTCTTCAGTCTCTGAAGCCAATAAAGCAATATACTTTTGAAAATTGGGCTACAAGACTTGCCCTTATTTTCTTCCTATGTCATTGAACATGTATAAGTAAACTTTGCTGTCTTTCCCATCCCTTAACATGGTTCACTTTTTGATTCTTTTTAATTTATGTTTTTACCTGGTGATATCATGTATCAGATAATTATGTTAGCGGTAGACTTATATATTGGGTCCAGACCCCTCTCCTATGCATGTAGCAGACTGCTTACTTGCCATCTTTCATGTCCCAAGTTTATTCCTAAGATTTTCTTACCCTAATCTATAATCCCAGTATTTTAACGTCTCAATTGATGACATCTATTCTGTTGGTTTATGCTATGACTAATTTGCAAAGAAAAGTGATATGAAGAGAAATCTTAATATATGTTAGCTTGAATATCTAGAATGACATGTTCTTTAATCCGAATGTGGTTTTTATATAGTATGTGCTCTTAATGAATAATTTGGGAAATACTAGTTTTCCCAATACTAGTAAGGCAAATTTAATGTGTTCAGAACTCCTACGAAAAATTATGGACATGACTTTCCTTATGTTTTTTCAGAGCTTACTTCTTAATTAAGCAGCATCAAAATACTTTTAAGATTTGTGATTTGTTTCGTTATTCTCTTAACTTGATTACCTGTATAGTGATATGATTATGAAACCCTTCCTATTTAACATTTAAGGATACTTAGACGCAATAGCTGGATAGTAAATACTGATTTCCATAAAAGTAATATTAAATGTAGCCATTTTTCCTTTCTTGTTTTTCTGTTTGATATGGTCTTAAATTGGATAATAAAATTCTGAGACCTTTTTCTCAGAGAGCAGAAGTGAAAATTATTTACAAATTATGAAGAAAAATTTTAATGTGTTTAGAGTAGTATTAGGTATGTGTATATATGTGCATAGTATTTGCACACATTCAATGCCATTGCCTATATGTATTAATGTATTTTTTCTTATTGATATTACTCAGTGGATATTTATGTTTAAAGTAAAGTACTTATTTATTGTAGAGTGAAAAAAATAAAATGGAGGCAGATGTGATCACAGATCTTCGCTGCAAACTTAAAAAGGCAGAAGAAGAGCAAGTAAAAGCTGCCCAGTATGGCTTGCAACTATTGGAGAGTCAAAGTGAATTGCAGAATCAACTGGATAAATGTCGTGATGAGATGATGACCATGACTGAGGTAGCACTCTAAACTCTCTTAACTAAGAGGTGCTTAGCTATTAACAGTTTGTATTGTATAGCATTTAATATTTTATTTTCTGATTATATTTTATTAAGTTCCTGTCCAACTCTACCCCATAAAGGACATTAAATATATATTTAATATAATTTCCAGTCTAGTCTTGCTATGAGTTTGAAACTCAAACGTTGCAGTTGTGCTTTTTATTACATACTGGATTTTTGCTTATATGAGGAGGGTGGGGGAGATTGCTTAGAAATGCTCTGCAAGCCAGGAAGCCATTTCTGGTGATTCTTGGTGCCAGTGTTTGAGCTGAGGTCGTTTACATAAAAGGCAAGGACTTTAACCCTTATACTCTAAAACCCTACATAATTGGATTTAAGGTTTCATTTTATCTGCACTTTTCCCAAGTGATATCACTCATTTTGTTGCTTACATAACGAAACGACTATTGACATATTCAGAAGTCATTTTGGGCTGTGTTCTTAGTTGTCATTTATAATCTAGACTTGTATATTAAACTGCCCAACTAAAGATGACAGGAAAATCGATTCCCTGACTACCAACCAGACATCCCCTTGCAGTTTCTTTGATTTCAGTAATAAATATGATAGCATGGGTAGTTCTTGAGTCAGAAAATTATGTGTTTTAGACAATGTCCTTCTGACCCTTTTAAAATTTAATTCATGGATAACTTGTGAGAAATTGACCAAACCAAGCACAAAAAATTACAGGCCAGAAAAATAGTACAGGGAATAACGTGCTTGCCTTGCATGCAGCTGTCCCTTGTCAATTCATGATATTTCATATAGTAACCCAGACCCACCAGTAGTGATTCCTGAGCACTGCTGGGTGTGGCCCATATTAACACTTAGCCCCCATAGCCTTCTTACTGACTTGTCTACTGTACCCTGCTTCCCTCATTGCTGTTCACACTGTCCTTTCTTCACCTAGAAGCCAGGCAAGATCAAGTAACAGCGTAAAGCACTCCAACTTGCATTTGTATTTTCTTTTTCTTTCTTTGTTTTTTGTTTTTTGCCCAGCCCAGCGATAGCACAGTGGGTAGGGTGTTTGCCTTGCACTCGTTCGACCCAGATTTGATTCCTTCGTCCCTCTCTGAGAGCCTGACAAGCTACTGAGGGTGTTCTGCCCGCACGGCAGAGCCTGGCAAGCTGCCCATGGTGTATTTGAAATGCCAAAAACTGTAACAACAAGTCTCACAATGGAGATGTTACTGGTGCCCACCCAAGCAAATTGATGAACAACGGGAGGACAGTGCTACAATGCTTTGGTTTTGTTTGTTTGTTTGTTTTGTTTCTGGGCCACACCTGGCAGTGCTCAGGGTTATTCCTAGCTCTGCACTCAGAAATTATTCCTGGCGGTGCTCATATGGGATGCTGGGAATCAAATCCAGGTTTGCCGCATGCAAGACAAATGCCTTGCCCACTGTACTATCTCTCCAGCCCCTGCACTTGTATTCTTTCAAAATTAACAAACTTTTATGGATTTCAGATCCCTATGTGATCTGACCCCCTACTTAATTTTTGACCTCATCTTAAAGTTTTCCCTTGTTCTTAGCTAGACTGCTTCTTTGGAACTACACCAGCCTTGTTCTGCTTCTGAATTATTCATCCTTCGCTGTCTTGGATTGAGATCTTAACCTTCAGATTTCTGTAATCATATCAGAAAAAAGACTTCTATTGATTCTCTGTATTGTAAAGTTGCAATCAATCTCAATTTTCTGCAGAACTAGTTATCTTCAGATTTTAAGTTTCTAGAAAGGGAATTTTGTTTTGGAAACACACTTAGCTGTGTTCCTATATTAACACACTTAGCTGTGTTTCTATATTAACATATAGGAGTGATCCAGAGATAATGCTTTATAGGGAATATCACTTGAATTACAAAATTCGCAAAGTAAATCTTATAACCCTTTGAGCTACTTCATTTACTCCCCCCGCCCCCACTAAAGGCAATTTTGAGTGTTATTCATTGTTTTGCCCATAATGCTTGACGTACATTTTATTGAAATAATGAATACATCAATTTTACTTTGAAAGAGCCATGGTGTAACATTTAAACGTGACTCTCAAAATTCAAATATAGCAGGTCAAAGTAGTTAATGATAGCCCTTTTATAGTACTACTATAAACAAGAACTCAATTTCAAGTCCTAACAGCAAAGTATAGATTACAGGTTGCCTGTAGTAGATGAAAATAAAACCATAGTATGTATGTTTTGGGAAAATTGTCAAAATGTTAGTTTGATTATTAAAATTCTCTTTGTTTTCTTTTAAAATGGAATGTTTTTTGAATAATATGAAGCAGGTTAGAAAACATGAAATATAATTTAAGCTTTAATTTAGGTTTATTTTATCTTGTGTTTTTGTTTTTTGTATTGTGAGCTGTATCTAGTGGTACTCGGGAATCTTCCCAGCACAGCACTTGGCATATTTCTGGCTATGTCTGGGTGGTGCCAGGGATCTAATGTGGGTTTCCTGAATGCAGAGCTTGCACACCAACCTTTTGAGCTGTGCCTAGGCCCCTAATTTTGTTTTTTTAAAAAACTTGTTGAAATTTCTGTCATTAAGCAAAAGCTTCTTTAAGTGCATTTATCTCGGCAGTGATTCATTCAGGTATTCATTTTGTGAACATTCTCAGAACTCTTTTATAAAATCAGAACATGTATTGCTCAACTAATCATTGAAATCCTTAAGATGAATTGAATGTTCTCTCGGCTAACAACTGCTCTCTTTGAGGGTTTAGGTTTTGTTCTCTCACTGAATCTGTGCCTGAATCTGCAGTTTACAGTTTTCAGGTTCCTTATTTAACCCATCCCAGTATATTTTGTCCTTTAGCTTTTGCACTGCAGTTACTCTTTTTCTTCTACTTGGCGGCATAGCTGACTTTTCCACAAGCTGACTCTTCACGTAGTAGGCTTTAGAGCCACACGACAGCACAGTATATGCTTCTTACTGTGGTGCTTTCTAAATGATGACTTTCCATTCACTGAGAGCTAAAAGTAAAGCAAATCATTACTAAAACAAGCAGTTTTCACTAGGAAAGCATCAGTGCTGTTAAATTCTTTATGCTTGTGTGTGGGGGTGGGTGGGGGGAAGTATCTAGGCCACAACTTGTGGTTCTCAGGACTTAATCCTGGCTCTGTATTACTGGGGGTGCTTAGGGGACCAGGGATTGAACCAGGAAGTCAGTTTGCAAGACAAAAACACTATCCATTGTACTTTCTCTCCGGTCCCTATTTTTTTTTAATGGCAGAAGTGATTTTACATGTTGTTATGTGAGCCCTCCACTTCCCTTACAGGGCGTTGAAGCAGTTAACTTATAGTTAGCATGAACTTGAATATAGTCTCAAAATACCCGCAGAGATTTTTAATAACTGCTTATCTAGAAAATTCTTCTGAATTTAACATGTGGGTTTCATTTCAAAAATTGCAAATGTATGAAACAGAAATCTGACATTTGAAGGTGAGAATTATTTATATGTGATGGTTTTACATTATTTTTATGTAATTGAGTTATGATTGAATCATTTCAGAACTATGAACAAGAAAAATATACACTTCAGAGAGAAGTTGAACTCAAAAATAGAATGTTAGAAAGTTTGAGCTCTGAATGTGAAGCTATTAAACAACAACAGAAAATACACCTGGAGAAATGGGAAGAACAACTGAACAGAAGTCATGAACAGGAAGTGAATGAATTGAAAAATAAGGTTTGAAATATCTGTATTTTGAAATAAAAATGTTCTTGCTTATTACAAAGCCTTTGTAAATTTTAAATTTTAGAATATTACTTTAGTGACCACTATGACTTTCTTATTTAGGATACATGGTAAGGTGGTCCACTTGAAAAGATTATTCCAGGTGCTAGAATGGTAGTACAGCAGTGTAAGAAACTTGCCTTTCATGCGGCTGACCCGGGATCCCACATGGTCTCCCAAGCACTGCCAGGAGTGATCCCTGAGTTCAGAGCCAGGAGTAAGCCCTGCGCACTGCTGGGCATGACCTTAAAATTAAAAAAACTAAAACTAAAATCCCATATAGAAAAACACAAAAGATTAGTTTACTACCTTTTACTGCAGCTTATGGTATGCCATGGTATGCTTTTTAAGGAACCATCTTTTGTAAATTTATGTACATCAGAATTTATATTTTATAATTTTTATTGAAAATAAACTAATATGACTTATTTTTACAGCAGCTCCATAAGGGAAGTAACAGTACTATATTCTTTAACATACAGAAGACTCATATTTAAGTAGATTGAATATGTTACCTAGATTTAGTGTGACAAAATTACTGAGCTAGAAATTACCAGTCAAGATTTTAACCAAGACTGATCTCAGAGACTGTGCTTAGTTTAGCGACACATTATACTGACTTTATTTTAAACCTAAAATGTGAAGTAAATGCTCATTCAAAAGAACCTTTATTGTGCCTCCTCTTTGTGAGAGTTCATACTTTCCAGACTCAAAATATTTGCCTGACTTATGTCCTGTTTTCTCTGAGGTCTATTTTCTTATTTCTAAGTGTTTTTGGGTGGTATTTTTTTTAAGTTTTTCTGTACCCCTGTAGGACCATTATTGTTAGATTTCCGTTAAATTGCTTCATTAAATATTCTCTCATTCTGGGACTAGGGATGTAACTCAGTTGTAAAGCATTTGCCTTACCAGTATGAGACGCTGGGTTCAATTCCTGGCATTGCCAAAAATAAAGTAAAAGAAATTATTTTAATATAGTATGTCCTCATTTTTAAGAATCAAGTTACATATTTGAGCTGGTTATATTTTTTCCCTAACATTAGTAATGCTAACAACTAAAAATACTCTTTCATGTCAAACACTACAGTATTTACAAACATTGTATACACTACTCTGATAAAATGTAATCCATCATGTCTAAAACTTCAGACATATTTTGATGGCATACATAATTTATATGTATATTTATAAAACAAGCCTGTCACTGTTTGGTTACCTTTATGATTTTTTTTAACTTTAGCTAGAAAATTTGAAGGCAGAATTAGATGAAGCTAGGCTTAGTGAAAGTCAACTGAAGGAAAAACTAAGTCATCAGCAGGAGCTTCTCTGTTGTAAATCAGAGGAATTGCGGAAAATGTCTGACCGTGCACATGAAAGCTTGTCTTCTGAGGTGCTGGCTCTTCAAATTGAGCTGACTGAAGCAGAAAATACAAAGGTAAGCTTTATGATGTGTTTTCTGAGGTCTTTTTTTCCCCCTTCTTGCATATATTTTAACATGTTTTGTAATCTTACGAGATTGTTTTCAGGATGGTAAAATTTTGGTCTCATTTTGATATAATTCAGAATGTTTTTGGAGTTTTTAGGTAACTTATTTCATGAGTAATAGAACTTTATATTGCATAATTAAAGAAGAATTTAGATTAATAAACCTTTTGGAAGAATAGTGAAACATTTACTCTAAACTAAGTTTGTGTCATAAAAACCCAATATAAAGAGTTTTTCCTTTGGATGTTAACATACATATGAGCAAATCTCTTTTTTAAGGCTGATAACGAGTGGACTGAGCACATGTTTTGCATCCAGAAAACGTGGGTTTAGTACCTCAGTACCATATGGTCTCCCATGCACAGCTGGGAGCAATCAACCCTGAGCACAGAGCAGAGAGTACTTCCTGAATACCACTGGGTATAGCCCAGAGATCAGCGAAAAAAGTTTTCCTTTATTGCAAGCTATGGTTATAGCAATCAAAGCCTTAAATTCATAGTAAAGTATATTTTTAGAAACTTTGGTTTTCTGCCAAAACCTTATACGTTTATATAGTTGTATTATGTACTTTATACCTTTGACTATGTTCTTTAAATACAGTGCTGGTTATGAGCTACTGCTGGTACATAAACTGAGTAGTTGCTAAATGAAGAGTTATCCTCTGATTTTAATTTTTTTTTTTTAAAGTTTTGGTTTCAATTTAATTGAATAGGCCACTCTCCAAGAAGAATTGAATGAACTACAGTGCAGACAAGCACAACAGGAACTTCTTACTAAGAATTTAATGCGCCAGGTAAACCGCCTTAAGGAAGAAAAAGAAGAAAGAGAGAAAGAAGCTGTTTCTTACTGTAATGCTTTAGAGGTGTGTGGTTACAGTACCATAATGTTTTCCCATTTGTGTTATTTTGTTGATAATCTTTGTTAACTAATTATTTTCTTTCAAATGTAGAAAGCTCGTGAAACAAATCAAGATCTTCAAGTGCAATTAGACCAGGCACTTCAGCAAACCTTGCACCCCAATAGTAAAGGAAACTCTCTATTTGCTGAGGTACTTACAAATATTCTATTGATTAAATTGGCATTTCACTTAATATAAGAATAATTAAGTAGGCTAATATTTTCTAGGTGGAAGATCGAAGGGCGGCAATGGAACGTCAGTTAATCAGTATGAAAGTCAAGTATCAGTCACTGAAGAAACAAAATGCATTTAACAGAGAACAGATGCAAAGAATGAAGGTATTAAATTATCATCATCAGGGCCCTTGGGATCAGAGGTGATCCCAAGGTCTGAAGCACATTTATTGCATGGGGGAATCCTCGGTTTGATCCCTGGCACCATTTGGTCTCTAGACTGCAGGGCATGTCATCACCTTCAAGTATCATCAAAACTTTATTTAACCTATTTTGTGTCATTGCATATGAAAATATAGCACATGTCTTTTTCCTTGGGTTTATTTTTAAATTTTGGTTTTTGAATTCCATCTTGTTAGCACAGCGGGTAGGGCGTTCGCCTTACAAGCGGCCAACATGGCCGACCCGAGTTCGATTCCTCCGCCCCTCTCGGAGAACCCGACAAGCTACCGAGAGTATTCGATATGCCAGACACAGTAACAACAAAGTCTCCAATGGAGACGTTACTGGGCCCGCTCGAGCAAATCGACGATCAACAGGAGGGCCTTTACCTTTACCTTTACCAGTACTTGGAAGTGCTAGTGGACTGTGTTATGTGTGAAAGAAGTTAGGCCCCGACCTCCTACATAGCAAAGCTTGTGCTCAACAATTTGAGTTCCCTCCACAGTCCTCAAGGAGTTATTGAGTCATTTTTAGGACCACATGATTTAAAAGAAAAATACAATTTAAAATTGAGCAGAATATCTGTTTTTGTCTTATTTTTGCACGGTAATTCTGAAGTAAAGATTTAGTAGTGGTGTATTTAGCATTTATTTATGTTTTAGTAGTCACTATCCTGTGAGAAACATAAAACTTTCTTCATGGAATGGGCAGAAAAAAGGAATTAAAATATTCTCTTTTCCCACCCACCGTTTGTCTTTCTGAGCACAACCATAAGGTTCCTACTTCAACCAAAAACAACTCAGCATTCTTTGTCAGGATTTATTATAGAGTGCTTATGGATTGATTATGCACGTTCTCCTTTCTTTGCAGTTCCTCAAGTTGGACATGTAAGCCCTTTTAACTTAGGGGTTTTATCCATTATTTTAGTTAACAGAAAAACTTGTGGAAGTTGAGAATCTAATATTGGGACCTGAGAGATTTTTACAGTGGATAGAATGCTTGCACCTCATATGGTTCCCTGAGCCCACCAGGAGTAATTCCTTAGTGAAAATTCAGAAGTAAGCCCTGAGCAAAACTGTTGTGGACCAACAAAGCAAAAAAAAAAAGGAAGATGCATTGTTGAACCAGCCTTAAGAACCAAATCTTCGATCACTTGTGCCTAATTCTTCAAAGTTGATTACTAGATGTCTAGAAAGTTGGTGACTTTTAGTCAGGATGGTGTGATTTATCAAAGTCGAGAGATGCGTGCTGAAAGTAGACTATAGACCCAACATGATGAGCACTCAATACCTCTATTGCAAACCACAATACCCTAAAGAAAAGAGAGAGCAAAAGGGAATGCCCTGCCACAGAGGCAGTTTTGGGTGGGGAGGGAGTGTTAATGGGATCATTAGTGGTGAAAGATGGGCACTGGTGGAGGGATGGGTACTCAATCATTGTATAACTGAAACCCAAGCATGAATGTTTGTAAGTCTACATCGGTACCTCATGGTGTTTCACTAATAAAAATTAAAAAAAAAAAAGAAGTAGGAGAAGTTAGTGCTTGAATCAATCTGATTCAAGTCGGATTGAATCAAGACTTGTCACTTTTTGGTTGTATGACCTTAGACAAATGTTTTGATCTTTTATAACATTATTGACCTCACTGTAGACACCATAGAAATTGCTTATTTGTGCTAAATCGTGCTGAAGTTCATTAGTATAATGTGAAATGTTTATGTGGTGCTTGGTAAATGATGAAGTGCTGATTTCAGAAATGATTGCTGTGGCTTTAATTTCTAAGAACCTTCACTGTAATGATGGATATACTGAGGATCTCCCTATCTGGGAATGATCTCTTTGTAAATTTTCTTATATTTGTGGCCCTTTTTTTCCCCTTTCTATATATCTTGAACTACTCCTGTTAATCTCTCAATGTTCCCATGGTACCTAAAACAGATTTTAGAGACTGAACTCATTCTGAATATTCTAGGCTAAGATGTTTGGACTCCACACTGAAAAGAGGCATGAAAAGTAAACACTTAAAAGTATGCAGTATTCTCTCTCTTCAGTGTAACCATACTCATTTCTTAATTCAAAGCTATATTTGAGTTATTTCATATTTTTTGAAACAAAGATTTATAAAGAAAGACAATGATGATTTCAGGTTCTAGTATCTTACTACTGCTATGCAACTCCAGGTTTAAGTGATTATAAATAGTGAAGTAATAAGTTGATTGCTGCTCTTTTTTGTTTTATTTTTGGGCCACACCCAGTGGTGCTCTGCTCAGCGATCACTCCTGGTGGGCTTGTGGGAACATATAGGGTACTGTGTCAGGCATGTGCAAGGCAAGCACCTTACCCACTGTATTATCTCTCTAGCCCTGATTGTTGCTTTTAGAAAATTATTATAAATATATATAACATATATAGTGTACATATACATATATATATTTAGAAGATTAATATTCGCAGCCAGGGAAAACAGAAGGTAGGAGGATTGGTCAGTGGTTGGAATCAACCACAAATGTGTGGGGCGGAGGGTAGGTAAGATAGAGAAGGGAATAGTGTGACAATAATAGCTTGAAATGATCATGTTGGACAAGAACTGAGTGCCAAAAGTAGGTAAAGGGATATTCTTGATGACCTTTCAGTATCTGTATTGCAAACACAGTGCCCAAAAGAAGGGAGAGGGAGAGATTGGGGGGATGGGTTGATGGGAGGGAAACTGAGAACACTGGTGATGGGAAATGTACACTTGTGGAGGGATGGGTGTTGGAACATTGTAGGACTGAAACCTAATTATGACCACTTTGTAAGGGTCTATCTCACAGTGATTCAATTAAAAAAAAATTATGTTGTAGATTGCCCTGATAGCACACTAGATTGTCTTTTACCTTTGGTTTTTATTCTTGTCATTTGTGACTTTTACATATGAAATGTGAGTGGCTTAGTAATTTCCTTTGGTACTTGATTAATTAAACATTTGGAGAAGTGCCATCAGACAGGCCCTTAATAAATATAGCATTTATTTACCAGAGTTCTTTTGTAGTTAAATGACATGTTTCCAGACCATAAAATACAGGTTAATTTTATGTTTTGACTAAATATAAATAAATGTTATTGGTTTCAGATATCACTCATAAGTGGTCACAATAAGAACTAAGAAAGTTATACTAGGTGCTGGAGAGATAGTACAGCGGGCAGGGCACTTGTCTTGCAAGTGGCTCACCCTGGTTTGATCCCCTGCACTCCATATAGTCCCCTGAGACTCACCAGGAATGATCCCTGAGTTCAGAGCCAAGAGTAAACCCTGAGAACCACTGGGTGTATCACAAAAGCAAAAAGAAAAGAGAAAAAAGTTATATTACACTTGATATGTTTTCAGATTGTTAGATTATCAAACTGTGAATAATACTTTTAGCTATTTCCAAGACAAGGTCAAAGTAATTCACTACAAAATAGAAAATGTACAGAAAGTGTTATTAGATCCTTTCCTGTTCAATTTATGGAGTATTTGTTTTAATCTTTTTAGTTACAAATTGCCACATTACTACAAATGAAAGGATCTCACACTGAAATTGATCAACAAGAAAGGTTGCTGGCCATGTTGGAGCAGAAGAATGGTGAAATTAAACATCTATTAGGTGAAATTGAAAATCTAGAAAAATTTAAGGTATGTGTAATAGCTTTAAAAATGCTTCCGGGGTGGAGGGGGCTGGAGCAATACCGCATCAGGTAGGGCATTTGCCTTGCACGCGGCTGACCCAGGTTCAATTCCCAGTATCACATATAGTCCCCCGAGCACCACCAGGAGTAATTTCTGAGTGCATGTGCCAGGAGTAACCCCTGTGCATCGCTGGGTGTGACCACCCTCCCCCCCCAAAAAAACACACTCTTGGGCCTGAGAGATAGTACAAAGGGTAGGGCACTTGCCTTGCATGCAGTGACCTGGGTTCCACTCCCAGCACCCTTGTGGTTTCCCAAGCTTGCAAGGAGTGAATCCTGAGTGCAGAGCCAGGAATAAGCCCTGTGCACTGCCAGGTGTTGCAAAAAAGGAAAAAAAAAAGAAAGAGGGAGGGAATGAGACACTCAGACAGACAAGCGAACAGAAATCACATCCAGCCTAGAGAGGTAGTTCAAGGTTTAAGGTGCTTGCTATGCATATGACTGAGCCCAGTTCCATCGCTGGCACTGCATATAGTTCCCAGGAGTTACACTAGAGTCCAAAGCTATGAATATTCCCTTAACACATAGGGTATGGCCCAGAACATCCTTGCCATGAAAAAAGACTAAAGTAAACAGTTTTGGGAAGAGGTCCTCAATACTTTTGCTTTGAATAGATTTCCCACTTTCACTAATGAAAAGTAACTTTTCGAGAAACTCATTCTTTACATTTATGTAGATCTGTGCTTTTCTGCTCTCCTCTTCTCTTTGTTGTTATTGTTGCAATGCCTGTAGGGTTGCATACATGACTGGCTGTCCTACTTGCCTAAGGTCACACCTAAGGTCGTAAGTTGAAGTCTCCACTTGCTCTTTGAGATTTGCATTTCTCTATTTGCGATGATTACAGATGCTTGTTGGGAATTGCACTCTTAGTTGAGGCGCATGAGTTCCGGTATCTCCAAGGAGTGCTAATGAGAAGTTACACTTCCTGTCTCTGGTGCTTACAGCCATCTGACTGGTGCAGCTAGAAACTGCTTGTGCCAGGGATCACAGTAGAGCTGACAGGCTCAATCAGCAGAGTTGCAGGGATAGCACTTGGTGCACTTGGGACACTGAGGATTTGAACTGGTGACCATATGCTTCTCAGCCAGTTTCTCTAAGCACCAGCAGTATTCCTCTGGGCCTGCCATGATTTTTTAAGGGAAGAGGAGAGGAGGATAGAAAGCTAACTTAGTAGATCGAAGTATCTGCTTTGCATGCTGCAGCTCTGTATTTCCTTGAGCAGCACTCAGAAGTGAAAAAGAAAGATAATAGTAAAGGAATCAATAAACTTGCAAATCATTTTGTATTTTTTAGTAATTCTCATCTCAGTGATAGGCAATTAGAATTTTTTTTTTTTTAACTCTGAACCAGCCCTTGGTTTTATGTTTTGTTTTTGGACCACCTTCATCCAGTTTCCCATACCCCAAACCTTTGGCAGCCTCCAATCACTTCTCTTTATCAATGAACTTTTTCCTTTTCCTTTTTAAGAAGAGATTCTATGTGTAAGAGAAATTAAGATTAGTTTTTGTCTTTGACTTACTTTACTTAGCTAATGTTCTTAGGGTTCATTTACCTTGTCATAAACAGGAGGATTTCTCTCCTTTGTTAAAAGTTGAATAATATTTCATCTGTTAGTTTCTTTATCTGTTTATCAGTGGACATTTATGATGCATGCATTTCTTTTTTTTTTAAATAATGTAGGAGTACTGCTATTTGTTCAGCCATTAATTAAGTGATTGAATTGGGCATGAACTCCCCATTATTTTTTTATTGTATTGTATTATCATGAGGTAGAGCACAAAACTTTCATGTTTGAGATTCATCGATACAATGATCAAACACCCATCCTTCCACCAGTACACATTTTCCACCACCAATGTCCCAAGTATCACCTCCCCCACACACACATACATACACATTGCAGTCCTCACCCTGCCTCTATGGCAGACAACTTCCCCAATACTCTCTCTCTAATTTGGGGCATTAATTTTGCTTGAATTTTCCCACCACCAGTCAAGCCTACCTGCCAGGGGCAGATACTAGATAATATATTTTTCATAGCTCATTTTGAATATCACAAGAGCTCATGTGGGCACAATTTTAAATGTAAATTTCTAGATTGTAAATGGTTGGGTTCCAGAGACATCTCTGTATGGCACTAATCCATTTTGGTATTCAATTGGGAGCCTCTGGGCCAGGGCTGTTGGTGAACGAAGATGGCATCCAGAGGCAAATTGTGGGCGTGATAGCCAGTCTTCTGGGCAGGTGGTGACCCAGGGAGGGACAGCTCAGGTCCTCTGCCACCATGTGGCCTGGAATTTTAGTCCTGAACCCGCATACCTGGGCCTTGCTTTGAAAGTTGCTGGTCACCAGGATTTCATCTGGAGTAGGTGGGGGAACTGCACATGCTCCCTCTGGGGTGTCCTGGTGATATTGGCTTGGTATGGGGCCTGGAGAGATCTCTGGCGCTGTGGTGTCTCTGGATCAGGGCTGTTGGTATGTTAAGATGGTGCCTGGAGTCTTCTGGGCAAGCGGGGAGCCGGGAAGGGACATCCCGGGTCCTCTGCCGCCATGCAGCCTGGAGATTAAAAATATGGAACACTTCACGAATTTGCATGAAGTGTTTGCCTCTGGATGTCATACTTGCACAGGTGCCATGCTAATCTTCTCTGTGTCGTTCCAATTCTAGTATATGTGCTGCCAAAGAGAGCACGATGCATGCATTTCTTGATTATTATAAATAATGCTCTATTCATTGAACATGTTGAACATGGAATACCTGTAACTTTTTGAGTTCTTTTTGTTTTCTTTGGAAAAGTATTCCTATAAGTGGAATTGGAAAGAAAGGGAAATCAGAATACAGATATGGTAAGGAGCATAGGCATTGGACATAGATATGGATTCAAATGATACCTTCTCACTTTAACTGGTGTCTTAGACCTTTTTCAGCATCTTGAAGTGAAATGCTCATTCTTGTATATAATTCAGCAGTCAAGGAGAGGATAGTGCTCAGCACTGGTTGCTGTAGTATTAGCATTCAATAACTGCAATCTGATATTAACTTAATTTGTTCTTACATTAGGGCTGGAGCGATAGCACGGCGGGTAGGGCGTTTGCCTTACAAGCGGCCAACATGGCCGACCCGAGTTCGATTCCTCCGCCCCTCTCGGAGAGCCCGGCAAGCTACCGAGAGTATTCGATATGCCAGACACAGTAACAACAAAGTCTCCAATGGAGACGTTACTGGGCCCGCTCGAGCTCGACAATCAACGGGAGGGCCTTTACCTTTACCTTTACCTTACATTAGAAGAACTGTTGCTTTCTGTCTTTAGAGTTTATATGAAAGTATGGAATCGAAACCTTCATCCAGTTCTGGGGTTGTGGAAGATAATACTTATTACACAGACTTGCTTCAAATAAAGCTTGACAACTTAAAGTAAGTGTCTATGTGGCGGGTGGATGAAAAGATAGACTCTTGACTTTCTAAATTATAATTAGTGTTAGTGATTGCAAATTTCTGTTTTGTTATTGTCAAAAACAAATTCCAAAAAAAGAAAGGCCACAAAAACTTCCTTTTGGAGAAAGTGAGATTATTTATGATTTATAATTCATGCTGATTACTTGAAGAAAAATGCTTTCAATGAATAATTAAATATTTTTATTTTATTGTTTAGCTCTTTAATTGGTAAATGGAAAAAATTTTAATGCGGAAAATGTTCTGATTGAAAATTTTGGGAATATAATTTAAAGGAATTTATTTGCACATGTGTTATGTAGAAAAAAATTAGTCACCCTTTGTTCATTTTCTTTAAGAAATGCTTGAGCTGTATTTGATAAAGTTTAAGTTTTTTACTAAAATCCCCACAAAATGTATCTTTAAAATTCAACATTTTTGCTCTGCTAGCTACTTTCACTTCCATTACTTTATTATTTGTTGGTTCTCTTTTTATTAATATAGCAAAGAAAATGAAAGTACCAAAGGTGAATTGTCTATACAGCGCATGAAAGCATTATTTGAGAGCCAACGAGCTCTGGATATTGAGCGAAAACTGTTTGTGAATGAAAGATGCCTCCAAGTTTCCCAAAGTGAAAATATGAAACTTAGAGCTACACTAGATGAGTTAAAACTGAAGTATGAACTTGAAGGTACTTTATATCTCATATATTTTTTTCATGAGGAGTTATGAGAAATATAAAATTTTTTTTTGTTACAGCTTAATGCAAATCCCATTACAACTGCTTTGTGGTTTATGCATATCTGCTTTATAAAATAAATTTATTGCTACCACAAATACAGGGAAATTTAAAGAGAACTATGTATTGGAAACTTGTGTATGTAGTTAATTATACTTTTTAAGATTGCAGTGCCATTCCTGATTCAATCCCTGGAAACTTATATGGTCTCCTGAGCACCTCCAGTAGTAATCCCTGAGCCAGGATTTAACGTGTGTCTCCAAAGCCAAAAGTAAAAGGAAATGAAGATTTGGATTAAATGAGAAAAAAAAAAGGGTTTCAGTGTCTTTTTAAGATTTCACCATCTTGGGCCAAGGAGGGGATTAAGGCGCTTGCCTTACATGTAAACCATTTCTGATTCAATCCTGGGGATTATATGGTGTGTCGTTCTCTCCTCCCCACCCCCCCCCCACACACACCCCTCCATTAAAAGCAACAGTGTAACAGGAACACCAACCCTCATATCCAGCCATGGTTTTTAAAGTATATTAAAATTTGATTGTGAAAATGACATTTGGCATTGACTTCACATTTGACTTGAAAGTGAAAGATATATTGGCATGGTGATGAAAAGATAACAGCATTTCATTCAGTGATTGAATATAGATCTGCAAAGGAAAGAATGATAATTTTAGACATTTAGAGTTTAACACAATTGTATGAGTCTGCAGTGAGTCATAATATAGTTTTAATTAGGATAGAACAACTCAGATATTTGAGTTCATAATATAGTTTGAATTCATAGTAGAAATTCTTGGATTTTGGGAGATGGAATTAATAGGCACAGATTACACTATTAGAGAACTTTGTCTATGCTTAACATTTTACAAGGTAAGGAAATACAGTTCAGAATGCTTAAGCATTTTCTAAAGACCACTTGGCTGCAGAATGCTATGATGGATTTTTGTTTGTTTTTGTTTTGAGACCATACCTGGCCATGCTCAGGGTTTACTCCTGGCTCTGTGCTCAGGGATCACTCTGATAGGCTTGGGGGACAGTATGGGGTGCTAGGGGATCAAACTTGTTTGTCTGCATGCAAGGCAAGAGCCTTGCCTTCCTTAACATCTCTCCAGTCCCAACTATGATGGATTTTTAACTGACTTCCTTGACTCTTAACCATTGCATTTTCTTATCCTCCCTGGGATCTTAAAAAGCCTTACACAACTTTATCTAGAATTCAGAAGAGATCATTGAAGAGTTATTCCTAGAATCTTATTAAGCCAAGGAGACATTAATAGCCTATCAGGCAACATTTTGGAAATATAACTAAAGCAGCTCATAAAAAAAGGAATATGAAAGAAGCAATACATTTTAATAAGGAGATGGATTATTAAATATGATATAATAAACTGTAAAGAAGAAAAGGGGAAAGATATATGTATAACTCTGGCTACATCATTATGTTGATTGTGCGTTTGTTTTAATTTATTGACCAAACATTATTTTTGTGTCTTTTTTTTTTTGTCAGAGAAAAATGAAGTTCCAGTACTCAAAAAAAGGCGTGAAGTACTGCCTGTTGATGTCCCTACCCCTGACAGTGAAAGTGCCAATAGTGCTGTTGGGGGAGAAGGATGTAGCAGGCCTTTAGCTAAGGAGGAGGCAGAACTGTGTCCTGATAATTCAGAAAATAACAACTCGCTACTTAAAAATGCCACTTCTGTAAACACGCCAGGAGTCAGTCTTTTTCTTCACAAAAGTTTGCCCAGGGATGTTCCGCCGGTGAAGGAAAAGAAAAGTGTGAAACTCGTAGGCATTGCAGCAGACTCGGAAGCCTTAAGTGAGAGAAGTGGAAACACTCCTGACTCCTCCAGGTCAGTTCCCTCCTTTCTTCAAGACAGCAAGCAGACCTCTTCATCTCTTCTCTATCGCTGCATGAACTGTGCTATCTGGTTTTTAATCTACCTCCTTAATATTGCATGCAGTGTAATTCCCCACTTTCATCTGTCTTCCTTCAATTTTTCTAAAACTTTAAGAAAGACTAAAATGATTGGAAGGGTAAAGGATTCCTGAATTAGTAAGTTATTATTTTTTTAAGATACACTTTTCTGTTTCATGAAATGTATGACAGTCTAGCATATCTGAATGTTTTGTTGGTTTAGTTTGAATAAGTGTCCTCACTTTAGGTTCTGGTTTTATTTTTTTTTTTTGTAACTATGAAAGAAAAATGAACTTACCTTATAAAATATCTCTTCAGCAGTTTAAGATTCCATCAATTTAGAAAACTAAAATTTTCAATGGCCTTTTGAAATTGTTTACCCTAAGCCTTCAAGAATGGGCTTTGCTATATTTTGTTTCATTTCGGAGCCACACTGGTGCTCAAGACTTTCTTTTGACTCTGAGCTCAGGAATTATTCTTGGTGGTGCTTGGGGGACCATATGTGGTGCCAGGGATCAAATCTGGGTCGGCTGTGTAGAAGGCAAGCACCTTAAGTGCTGGGCTATCTCTCTGTCTCCTGATAATATATTTTAACATTTTAAAAATCTCAGAAATTCTTTTATACTCAAATTTCAAAGCCTCTAGTTTTAGCATATTTTAGTTTGTGGCTGAAAGAAGAGTGTTAAACATGTATGTCTGTAAGTTTTAATGTTTCAAGTACAGTTGTTCTTTTTCTTTAAACAGATTTTTATTGTTGTTTAGGTGACATGGTTAAAAGTGAAGGACATTGTTCTTTAAAACATATTGTCAGAGGTAGAAGAAAATAAGTAGGAGGAAAAGAACAGTGGCTTAAGCTAGGGTTAAATGGTGTTATGCACAGTTTTTGGAGGTGTACAAAAGGATCAAGAGTCGGAGGGGAGGGAGTACTGAAGGAGGAAATTAAAAGAAAAAAAGATGACAAATTAAGGGCCAGAGATACGACTCAAGTGCTGGAGTGCATGGCTTGCATGCTGGAGGTCCAGATTTGATAAACCAGCACCAGATCTCCCAGACACCTCCAAGAGTGACCCCTGAGCACTGACTGATCTCCTTGTTAGTATTGCTAGAGTACCACTGGGTATATCCCCAAAACAACAACAACAACAAAATGATGACAAATGATTAAAGATATCTGTATTCAGTAGGGGCTGGAGCGATAGCATAGCGGTAGAGCGTTTGCCTTGTATGCAGTCAACATGGCCGACTCGAGTTCGATTCCTCCGCCCCTCTTGGAGAGCCCGGCAAGCTACCGAGAGTATCTTGCCCTCACGCCAGAGCCTGGCAAGCTCCTCGTGATGTATTCAATATGCCAAACACAGTAACAACAAAGTCTCACAATGGAGACGTTACTGGGCCCGCTCGAGGAAATCGATGAACAACGGGAGGACAGACAGACAGACAATATTCAGTAGAGTGTAGGTGAATTTGAAATAAATATCTTTAGACATTTAAGAAACTAGGTATATTAATGTGAAAATAGGTTGGATTGTCATCTGTGGAAGAAAATTTGCTAAGGTGCTGTTAGGGCTCCATTAGTCTTGGAGGAGTATAGACTATAGTAAGACATTTTACTGGTGTTCATTTTTAAGAGTTAGTATACCATAGGTAAAGAGCTTTCTTATATTTTTGTAGTTGTTATCTAATTTATCTTTAAAAGTTTCATTGTTACGCATCATAGTCTCACAAATGATAGTACTTGAACATTAGCATTAGCTGTTACTAGGAGTAATTTACTAAGTACCTAATTTTTTATATAACATTACAACTTGTAAATCACATAAAGTAAAAACTCAGTGAATCAACTTTAAATAATCTGGCTCTGTCTCTGTCTCTTTGTCTTTCTTTTTCACACACACACGCACAGCTTTGAGTGTTCTGAAGTGAATTCAACAGGTTATGCTTGTATATAAGTGATTCATCTTGTAAGTATGCCTAGCCATTATATTTCTGGAAGTGGCTTTCCAGAATTGATCAGTACAAACCTTGCTTTCTGTGTTGTCTTCACTTCCTTTTTGACCTTTCTTGCTTGATAAAAATAACTTAGACAAATGTAAATAGGTATTTGACTTAAGTAGCATATTGGAATATTTTGTGGTGCTAGTTAAACAAAACCAAATAAAATACAACAAAACATATGTTTCTTTGTGTGAGTTCCTCTGCTAACCAAAGACATTTCTAATCGTGTTCTCTGCAGGATTAACTTAGATACACAACCCTATGATAAATATTTTAACAGTAACTGTGAGTTTTATTTGAGAACTTTACTGTTGCATGCCTTATAAACTTAATTGATGAGCTTTGCTATAAAATATAGCAAATTTAAGACAGGCCTTTCAAGATGTTTTGCTTCTGCTTATTTTATCTAAGTGATAATTTATAATTTATCTAAGTTCAGTTTAAGAGGTTTTTTTTTTTTTGCTTTTGGAGAGGTCCGTTAGGCCACATCAGGCTGTACTCTGACTCTCAGAGGTAACTCCCAGTAGTGCTGGGTGAGGGACAACACAGCAGTGTTGGGGATTGAATGTGGGTCAGCCTCACTCAAGGCAGGTGTCTTATCCCTGTACTATTTCTCTGACCCACATAGACAAATTTTCATGCAGTCTAGAATGTCATGCTATTTTTCTTCTTGAGTTTGCCTTTTGTATGTCACATTAATGTTAAAATATTTGTGTTTATAATTATTATTGTGCTTATGACAGGTATTCCAGCATATTTTAATTTTGTTGTTGTTCTGTTCTGTTTCTGGGTCACATTTGGTGGCTCTGTTCAGGGATCACTTCTAACAGGGCTTGGGGGACTAGAGATTAAACTTGGGTTGGACCCATGCAAGACAGTCACCTTACCCACTATACTATTTCTCAGGCCCCTATATTTTAATTCGTTAGACTTTGCCATACACTTTATTAACCTTAAATATTTATTTTTAGACATAAAAAATGTCTTGATACGAAAACTATTTTAGAGAGTAAGTAACTTGGTTTCTTACTGGCATTGAAATCAAGTAGAATTTTTTCCTCATTACATAAAATCACCTTATATCATTAGAGAACTGTTTCTATAATTTTTCTTGACTGCATTTGAATTTAGAGTGGATGCTTTAATGCCTGTAGGTTAGCTGATGAATCAAGTCTTCAAACAGAAGTTAAAGAAGAAAAAGAAGCTTCAAGCAAATTGGAGAAGGAGAGTCGTAAGAAATCACACCCTATTTTATATGTTTCTTCCAAATCAACTCCTGAGACCCAGTGCCCTCAACAGTAGGGTTACTCCTTTAGTAAGAGTAAGGTACCATTTGCCCATCAGTTTGCTTGGGCACTTAAGATTAATCTAAAAGGGTTCGGTAACCTTAGAGACTATTTCTTTCTTATTTACTGTGCCAACACCTGAAATTTTTGTATTCTTTTGTCAACATTTGGTTAATTCTGACAAGGAGAATTCCTGGAGTGATGAGATTTCATGAATAACATCTTAACTGAAGGAAAAATATCAGAGATATGTTGTTATATATGGATTTTTAATGATATCAACAGTTATCTTTAAAATCATATTTGAAGAGAATACTGAAATAATTGGCTATGTATTCTGTGAATTTAGATTTTCACTATAGAGAAATTGAGCTTTAAAAATAGATATTATACCTGGATTTTGTCTCTTTAAAGCAACTATATCTTTGTACTTTTGTATGATACAAATATGTCTGAGCATATAAAGTTATTTTGAAATTTAAAATAAAAACAATTTGTTTCCTCTCTAATTTTTGTTTTGTATTTGGGCCACAGTAACTGTGCTCAGGGTGCATACCTGGCTGTGTGCTTAGAAATTACTCCTGTCAATGCTTGGGGACTATATGCAGTGCCAGGAATTGAATCCTGGTTGGCCACGTGCAAGGCAAGTGCTTAACTCACTGTATTCTCTGGGCCCTATAATATTTTATCTCTTCTTCACCATCCCACCCCAATTTTCTTACCTTCATAGAGAATAGGATGTTATCAAAAGCACTGTAGCACTGTCCTCCCGTTGTTCATCAGTTTGCTCTAGCGGGCCCAATAATGTCTCCATTGTGAGACTTGTTGTTACTGTGTTTGGTATATCGAATACGTCACGGGGAGCTTGCCAGGTTTTGCCATGTGGGCGAGATACTCTCAGTAGCTTGCTGGGCTCTCCAAGAAGGGCGGAGGAATTGAACCCGGGTTGGCCAGGTCGGCAGTGTGCAAGGCAAACGCCCTAACCGCTGGGCTATCGCTCCAGACCAGTTATCAAAAGAAAATTCAAAAAGTATATACTTCTGGGAATCTTAAATATACACACATTTAATAGATACTTTAATTCTAAACTTTCAAAATACTTTGTTTCCTTTTATAGCTTAGCTTGGTCTCTAACTTAACTTCATATATACTATGGATGGATAAGTATGTAGGCAGAGATTTATTTTAAGGCATTGTCTTGTGTAATTGTAGAGGCTGTCAAGTCTGAAATTTAGAGTGTACTGGCAGGTTGGAGGTGCAAGGAACAGCTTTTCTGTTAAAGGGCAAAAACTGCTGCGGAATTCTCTTCTGGAAAGGCACATCTTTTATTCTTCAGGACTTCAGCTGATTTCAATTGATAGGCCACCCAGTTAGGGAGAGCATTTTTTTTTTATTCAAAGTCCACAGATTTAAATGTTAATCTTATCTAAAATCAACTATTCAGAATATTTGATCATATATTTAAGATTCATTGCACAGCCAAGTTGATGCATATGATTAATCATCACTGCTAATTAGATAAGTCTGTTGAAATATTTTTGGGGAAAAGGAAATTGTCAGGACCAGAGAGACAGTACAGTGGGTAGCTCACTTGCCTAGCGTGTGGCCAACCAGATTTAATCCCTGGCACACTTTATGGTCTTCCCACCAGAAGTGATCCCTGATTTCAGAGCCAGGAGTAAGCCTGCAGCACAGCTGGGTATAGACCAAAACCAAAAAAGAAAAGAAAATTATTTTCCATATCTACTGAAAAACTTTTATTTTGGGGCCCAAAATGGCAATGTTTGGGGTCTACTCCTGGCTTTGTGTTCAGGGGCTCACTCCTGGCAGTGCTCAGGAGACCATGCAGTACTAGGAGTCAAATCTGGGTCTTACACATATTAAGCACGTGTCCAGCCCATTGCGCTCTCTCTCCAGCGCCTGAAAAATATTTTTTGAATGAATTTTTAAATTGATGCAATATTGCATTATATAGGTTTGAGGCATTAATATAAATCAGGAGGGTCAAAGAGTTACTATACTTGGGTTAAAAGTATTCAGGAGCCAGAGAGATAGTACAGTAAATAAGGTGCTTGCCTAGCATGTTGTCAATAGGGTTTTGATCCACAGCTGGGTGTAGTCCCAGGCACTGCCAGTTATGATCCACCATTTACTTCCCGCCCAAGGAAAGGTAAAGGTAAAGGTAAAGGCCCTCCCGTTGATCGTCGATTTGCTCGAGCGGGCCCAGTAACGTCTCCATTGGAGACTTTGTTGTTACTGTGTCTGGCATATCAAATACTCTGGGTAGCTTGCCGGGCTCTCCGAGAGGGGCGGAGGAATCGAACTCGGGTCGGCCATGTTGGCCGCTTGTAAGGCGAACACCCTACCCGCTGTGCTATCGCTCCAGCCCAAGGAAAACCATTATTAAATCAGTATCTGTGTAACTATATTGTTCGCTCCGATAGCACAGCAGGTAGGGCGTTTGCCTTGCACGCAGCCAACATGGCCGACCCGAGTTCGATTCCTCCGCCCCTCTCGGAGAGCCCGGCAAGCTACCGAGAGTATTCGATATGCCAGACACAGTAACAACAAAGTCTCCAATGGAGACGTTACTGGGCCCGCTCGAGCAAATCGATGATCAACGGGAGGGCCTTTTACTTTACTTTTCTATATTGTTCGCCCAAAAGAATAGTTTTATTTTCACTATACATCTGACCCAATTTACCCACACGTCTTCCTCTTGCTTTCTGGTGTCATGAATCTTAAACACTGAGGACTAAATTTTAAACTTTTTACTTTATTATGTTGCAAAAAGAAAATCAGAAAATGTATATTAGATATTTTTTTCTGTATATAGAAGATAAATTTATAGAGAAGATGGCTGAAGCGATAGCACAGCGGGTAGGGCATTTGCCTTGCATGCAGCCAACATGGCCTACCTGAGTTCGATTCCTCCGCCCCTTTTGGAGAGCCCGGCAAGCTACTGAGAGTACCTCGCCCGCATGGCAAAGCCTGGCAAGCTACCCGTGATGTATTCGATATGCCAAACACAGTAACAACAGAGTCTCACGATGGAGACGTTACTGGGCCCGCTCGAGCAAATCCATGAACTACAGGAGGACAATGACCTATATAGAAGATACAGATATGAAATGAAGGTAGAATCTTCATTTTCCTTTCTAGATTACATAGGATTCTAAAATATATCAGAGGAAAATTCTGTATAGAAAGCACTAGAGATTCAGGATCTGAATTTTGGCAGGGACTGTCAGAATCAACTTTGTGAACTTTGAAAAGACTAATCATGAAGTTACAGGCATTTGGAGCTGGGAAGATAGTGCAGTGGGTAAGGCAGCTTACCTTGCATTCACCTAACACTAGTTTGGTCCATAGCACTGCAGAGGGTTTCCAGTGCACCACCAGGTGTGGTCCCAAAGCCCAGAACAAGAATGCAAAAATGAATGTATAGGCACCAGGTAAATAGTTAAAGATCAAATGAGGCACAGGGGTGAGATTTCAAATGTGAAAAGGTAACTGAGTCCCAGCATGCCATAACCCTCTAAACACTCAATTTGACTCCTTGGTCCCAAGTGCCTTTGGGATTAAGGAGTACCTTATCATTGGGCCTTAGCACTGAACTATCAGGCGCACTCAGCTGGGCCCCACAGGGATGGTTCCCAGTCCTGACCACTGACTCTGAGGGGCCCACTCCCTTAAAAAAGTAAAAGATCTGCTTTGTCTTGGATTTTCAGGATATCTCGGAGGAATCACTACCTTACCATTTAACTAGTGGAATAGAGACTCGTATGCCAACATAAGGAAGCATGCAGGCTATCAAATGAGTCCAGAAATTCAACTAATAAATATAGCAATAAAGTACAACTCTATGGAAAGGAGAGGACTGATTTCAGATTTGTCATAATACTGTGTCCAATTTTTAACAAATGACAAGGCATACAGAAAGTATGTATGACCCATACATAGGTCACATTAGTAAACTACATAAGGAAATCCAGACTTAGACCAAAAACTTTACAGATTGAGAAATTTCCTCCAAGAGCTAATGGAAGCCACAAAGAAATAAAACTTGAGGACAATGCCATTGAGACTTAAACATGAAAAAAGGAGGAATTATACAAAAGAACCAGATACAAACTTGAGTTAATACACTGACAAGTGAGGAGCCCACTGGGGAGGTTCAACACCAGATTTGAGTAAGTACAACAGAGTTTAAGCTGAAGAGCAAGAAAGAAGATGATGAATAAAGAATAATGAACAGTGTTGGGGCTGGAGAAATTACACAGGGTTTAAAACATTTACATTGCATGCAGTTGACCCGGCTTCAATCCCAAATACCATACATGAACCCCTGAGCTGGGTTCAATCCCAAGTAACACACATGAACTGAACTGCCAGGAGCCAGACGTAAGCCATGAGCACTGCTGGGTGTGACTCCAAACAAAGCACCCCTCATCCCAATAATCACTTAATCACTTAACTTCCCGTTAGTCGTCGATTTGCTCGAGCGGGTGCCAGTAACATCTCCATTTGTCCCTGTTGCGTGCTAGTGTAGCCCAGTGGCATCTGTTCGCTCTGGGAACATGAAGAGCCTCAAACTGATCGTTCATGATCTTGATGAAGAAGTCTGACCATCTGGTAGGTGGACAGCCACGCGGTCTTTTGACATCCCGTGGAATCCAGTCGGTAACAGCTCTAGTCCAGCAGTCGTCTTTAAATCTCATTACGTGACCAGCCCATCTGATTTTTGACACCTTGGCAAACAAGACAGCATCCCTGATTCTTGATCATCGACGGATGTCAGAACTCCGGATTCTTTCTCTCATTTGAGTGAAACATGATATTCCAAGCATAGCTCTTTCAATTCCTCTTTGGGAGACCCAAATAGCATTCTCATCCTGTTTACGTAGGGCCCAGGTCTCTGAGGTGTATGTTAATGCAGGAAGAACAGTGGAATCAAAGAGATGTGCCCAGAGCCGGAGGTTCTTCATCCTCTTAGCTATTTCTTCAGTATTCTTGAAGGCGATCCAAGCCGCTCTCTTCCTCCTGCACAGCTCAGGTGCCAGGTCATTTGTCATGTTGACTTCTCGACCTAGGTACACATAGCTGTTGCATTTGGAGATGGTCGTTCCGTTGAGAGCGAATGGGGCGTCAGGAACAAGGATGTTTCTCATAAACATTATCTTCGTAAGATTCAGCTGTAGTCTGACCTTTCCACACTCACGGTCAAAGTCGGCCAGCATTTGTGCCGCTTGGCTGATGTTTGGTGTTATTAAAACAATGTCATCAGCAAAGCGGAGGTGGTGTAGTTGCCGACCATCTATCTTCACTCCCATTCCTTCCCATTCCAGTCGTCGTATGATGTTCTCGAGGGTGGCACTGAAGAGTTTCGGTGAAATGGTATCACCCTGCCGAACCCCTCTCTTGACATCAATGATTACCTCTTTGTAGAATGGTGAGATCCTGGTAGTGAATCCGCAATACA